GATGCTAATTTGCCACCTACATCTCACAAAAATACAATTTTTTTTTTAAATAGAGTGTTTTCTTTATAAAATTAGTAATATTTATATACAACAAGTTATTATTTATTTATTCCACATCACCAGCAAATATTACAGGTTTATCTTAAAGTTGGGTGTTGGGTTGGGGAAGGTTTAACACACCCTATCAAATTTTCATTCTTTTAATTATTACAATCTTTACTAAAATGATTAAATCTATTATAAAAAAAATATATATATATTTCAACGCTATAACAAAGAGTAACTAGTGGTGTATAGATTGCTTTGATGGAAAAGGGCGTAAACTGCCCCCCCCTCTGCCATGAACCTGAAAAAATGCTTTTTTAAAAAAGAGAGAGAAATTAGTATAAAAAAATATTTTAACACATTACAAAATGCATCAGAGTAACCATTTTGTCATGAAAAAAGACGGATTACACACTCCAACCTAAAAAAATACACGAAAACAACAAACCTTTTGAAATAAAAAAGTGTAGTATAGTATGTATAAATAGCCTTTATGCACCCCTTTCATAAGGGCAACTTATACACCTAGAGGTGTATAACTTGTCTTTATAAAAAGAGGAGTAAGCTATCCCCTCCTCTGTCGGAACCAAATAAAAAAATTTTAATTACAATTTAACAAAGAAGTCTCAAAATGTTTTTTTAAAGAAAAAGAAATTAGAATAAAAAACTATTTTACCACATTACAAGATGCATCTGAGAATACATTATCATGTAAAGGAACAGATTAACTACTCCAACCTGAGAAAAAAACACACAAAAAAAACAAGTTTTTGAAATAAAAAATGTAATTATTTCTTGTCTGGGCTTCTAGTAAATAGTTTAATTTTTAAATTACATTAACGAAACAAAATGAATAATTTTTAACAATAGACACCACGTAAAGGCAGGCCAGAGCCAACTATCAATTTGCAAGCCACAAAACTTGCGGTACCTACTTGCAAGCCACAAAACTTACTGTACCTTATTTGCAAGCAACAAAACTTGCGATACTTATTTGGCAAGTCACAAAATTTGCAGTACCTATTTGCTAGCCAAAAAACTTGCAATACCTCTTTGTAAGCTACAAAACTTGCTGTACTATATTTGCAAGCCACAAAACTTGTAGTACCTTTTTGCAAAACCTATTTGCAAGCCATAAAACTTGTGGCAGTCATTTTGCTGGTTATAAAACTTGCTATACTGTGAGCATTTTTACATTAATTTCATATTCCAGTTAAGAAAATTTAAACTTCCCTGATATAACAACAGCAACTAGCTGGAGTTTTTAATCTTTTGACAGTTCAATATCAGTTCCATTTTGTTTCCAATAAGAAATAGTGTAAATTTTGTTATTGTTATTGTTAGTGTAAATCTTGGTATTTCTTGTTTACTTTTTTTTTTCAACTCTACCATCATAAAATTTATGATGGTAGAGTTGAAAAAAGTAAACAAGAAATAACAAAATTAAAAAAAAAAAAATAAAAAAAAATAAAAAATAATAATAGTCATTAATTTATTGTTTACTACTTTAACTTTGTAGCAATATTCCAAGTGTTAGTTTGTTGTTTGTAATTATATAATTTTTGCCATTTATAATAAATGGCAAAATGAAAACTTAAACTGAAAATTAACAATGAAAATATAAAAAAATCTAATTACAAACAACAAACTAACACTTGGAATATTGCTACAAAGTTAAAGTAGTAAACAATAAATTAATGACTATTATTATTTTTTATTAATTTGAAATTTATAATTCAAAATTATTAATATAAAATAATACTGATAGTATAAAAGATAAAATTGTTATTGAATATTATTAGTTAATAACAATTTTATCTTTTATACTATTAGTATTGCTTTAACATTATCAAAACACTTTAAAAACATTAACTTAATGATTAAGTTAATGTTTTAAAAGTATTTTAATAAAAAAAGTTTTAACTGTTATTGACTATTTACATTAATTTATTGTATACTACTTTATTTTTGTATTTAATAATTAACATTTTTAGATAATGGAATATATAAATTGTATACTACTTTATATTTTTAAATAAGAGAAAAACATTTTTTTGTAGAATAATTGCAACGACAATAAGTTTAAACAAATTTAAGCATCTAATCTGGTGCAGCAGGGAATTCTATCTAAGATATGAAAATATAACTTTGATCGTTAAAGAAACCATTTCCAAAAGAATATGGGGGGGGGGGGGAGGGGTAAGTTACCTCTGAATGTGATCATTTTTTAATAAAATTTTCAAGATTTTTCAAAATTTTCTGCTTTAGTGTGTTGCACTAGCAAATCTTTATATTGAAGTTTTTCTATCTATTTCTAACGATCAAATCAAATCAAATATAAACATATATGAAGTAAACATCTGTCAAACTCAATAATAATAAAAATAGGGATAATAATAATTATAATACATGTAGGAATAATAGTAGTGATTATAAAAAATATAGCGATAAATATAACTATAACAATAATAATAATATTAGTAATAATAGAAAAAAAAATAAAAATAACAAAAAAAAAAGTAAGAAAAGAATTTTTTTAAAATTAGTTTCGAAGAATCTGTTAATTAATCTTAATCAGCGGATGTTAAATGTATTACCTAAGTGTTATTTATCCAGTTGCGGTTCATGAAAATATGGATGTAAAATATGGATGTAAAGTATGGATGTAAAGTATGGATGTAAAGTATGGATGTAAAGTATGGATGTAAACTATGGATGTAAAGTACGGATGTAAAGTATGGATGTAAAGTATGGATGTAAAGTATGGATGTAAAGTATGGATGTAAAGTATGGATGTAAAGTATGGATGTAAAGTATGGATGTAAAGTATGGATGTAAAGTATGGATGTAAAGTATAAAAATATGAAAGTATGGATATTAGATATAAAAGTAGTTATAGTAATATTACGGCGAATATAGTTTAAGCCATTATCAAACTAAAAAATCGCTATACATATTCTTAAAATTCATAGCCCTTCTTTTTGAAAA